AAGTTTACGTTTAGTATTGATATATATATATATATATATATATATATACATATATAGTCTACTTAACGAAGATCGATGTGTCTATCTTTTTATTCACACATAACAAAGACTGATCGAAAGGTAATTTAGATCTGAAATATGAGTTGCTAATAATTTTATTAAAAATGGCAATTAACGAAACGATGATGGAGACTTAAAAGTTTGTTGAAAAATTCTGATTTGTTAGAGAACTTTGATCAAGGACCAATATACTATCGACGGAAACGCGGGAAAATACTGTTTCTCAGAGAGAGAAAGAGAGAGGGCCGGGAAAGAGGGAGCGATGTGACATATCACGCGCGCGTGTATTCGCTCGAATTTCTACGGTCTTTGCAACACTTTGCTCTCGAACTATTTTGAAGACACCTATAAATACGTGCATGCCACGCGCAATATATGACAAGTCCTCCCGCAGACGGCAAACATGCCGTATCTGGCCTGTCGCTTTAAGTAAAATCAGTCGCAACCACGAGAAATTATTAACTGTAATCCATTGTGCGTACACATACATGCACACACGAACACATGCATATACGTTTAAGGCCGTTTTCGAAGCTTATATTGTTACGATGCTTGATTTAAATTGACTATTTAATTACTCCAATAATGTAGCACGTGTAATCTATTTTGACAAATTTTGAAGACAGTTCCATCTGGTCGGAAAATAAGGCCAATATTTTTGTATTTTTGACACGAAATAAAATTTTGATGAATTTATTTATGACTTCTTCCGACTGAAGAATTATTTATGTCAGACGCAATACGTTTGTTAATATCTTTTTAATTATATTTTCTAAAATAGATAAACGTTTTTATATATTATTCTTAGACACATAGAGAAAAATACATACATATATTATAAATTATCTTCTCTGTGAGAACAGTGAAAAGTTGACTGACATGAGTCAAAATCTCAGAGCCACAAAAACAATAATTATCACGGTGCATAATGCGGTGTACAACAGACATTGCTCTTAACAGTTCAATGAGCACGGTAACGATAATTAACAAAAAGCGTAAAATAAGTATTGTAGAAATATTCATTGAAAGAAAATCTGCAATAAGAAGAAAAAACTTAAATTTGTACGAAGAATAATAAACATTAATAAAAAATGTGCATTATTGTAAATGTGCATAGTGTAATCGTGCAGGATTAATTTATTAATAAATTAAATAGACCTACTGAATATTTTTTTAATAGATTTAGAAAAAAAGACATTTGTTTTGTCTTATTATTTTTTCGTGATTTATTAAAATTTAAAAATATAATCTGTCATATTTTGTAGAATTAAAGTTGCGAGTTGTATATTTAACTTTTTATTTCAATCACGAGATTGTTCCATTGTAAAGTTCTCGCACTCCGACGCACGTACACACACACATATATATATATATATATATATATATATATATATATATAAGATATATTCTAAATAAAAATCTAAAGTCGTCAATGCGACACTCGACACCCTTGAACACATGTAACACTTGGAAGGTGTCGGCGTCCTCTGTCAGAGTCAGTATTACGAGGTAGGAAACACCTAAAGCGGGGGGGTAGGTCTTCATGCTGCAGAGAGCAGGAGGGATCGAGAAAGGGAACGAGCTATTCAAGCAAGTTAGGCTCGATAAACAGGTGGATCATCGAAGCCGACATTCGAGGCTCTTCCAATCGAGCGATGAAGCGAATGATACACATAAGCTATGAGGTGAGGAAAATGTTTCGTATAAGCCACTTCCGATAAACGCATTTTCGGCTTTTTTTCACTCAAATGGATCGATAAACAACAAGATTAGAATATTATTTGTAAATAATGAAGATATATCTTTCGATAAAATTTTATTAATTAATTTAAATTTAAATTTAATTAATTTAATTAAATAATTTAAAAATTATTTAATTAAATTACTTTAAATTTCTCGTACCTAATGTCCAAAAATTAATATATTTTGTAAAATTTGCAGAAGCAACATGACCACAGAACATGATCACTCAATGTACGAATTTATTATGCATATAAATAGATATTTTGAAATATGTAAAATTCTTTTAATTGTGATATAGATAACTTTAACGAATAATAGTTTAGTAAAATTTCTCTATTGTTTCACAGATATATATTTATTTCTTTTTTAATATTTGTTAAATTCGATCGATTAATCAATTTTTACAGTGATTCAAGAAAAGAAAGAAGACACGAGATGTTTCAGATGGTGTTAAATTTAGAAATTTCGCACGACAGCATACGGCGAGCTTTGTTTTTCGTTTTGCGGTTAGAAGTCTCGCATTTCACTATTTTCTAAAAACTACCTGCGGGGTAGTCTTCGATTTTCTGTGGTATCAAAAAATTCACACTTGTTTCAGCGAACTTTTAATATAATACATACATTAATATAATACATACGTAAAACACAAAAAATCTTATTCTCTTAAATTTAATTCTGCAAATTTATTACAGAATAAGTTTTGGAACATTTTATTTTTTATTTTTCGCGATTTCATAAGCACCTATTATATTATTCAATTAGTTTTGTAATGCATTTTATGAACAACTTTACAATTACTATACGATTATTTAGAGTTAGTTTTACATATAATATTATTAATAAATTAAAACACATAATATTCTTAACATGGAGAAGAATTTGTCAAAGTCGTTGTGTTAGGAAACACCATATTATTTGATATCACATTCTGAAGTACTTAACAATATCGTAAGAACCGTATATTTGACGTAATGACCGACATTTTTGCTCGTAAACGTATTTTTTATTTGACGCTGAATCGACTGAAGCGGGCCAGCATAGGGCTATGCATTCGATGGAAATTTATGCGAGAGCCCCGCCCCCTCTTTCTCGCAGAGGCCGAGAGAACTCGGTCGATGGATACGGGCGCCAGCCTCGCAGGCCCTATCTGGGCCCTTTACGAGCGTCCAATTGCCTCCCTTTCGTTCAACTCGACAACGGTATACAAAAATCGTAGGTTGCTGGATGTATAGAGGAACCATCAACACCAAAGTGCATGATTTTGGAAATTTTTAATATGATGCTGGGACTGATCGACCTGACGAAATAAGTCCTGGTTTATTAAAATTCGAACAAATTCTCGTCTTAGGTTGAATATATTTACATGAATAATTAATAAAATAAGAAATAAGCATTAGATATCTTAATTCAAAAAGATTATACAATTAATGTACAATTCTAATGAATGAACATTGTTATGATAAAACAATTATACAAATATCGCAATGGAAGAACTCTTGCGAAGACAATGTTTTAATTTGGGATAATGAAGTACCGATTATCTACTGATCCTCGAACCCTACGAAACATAAGAGAAGTATTCTTCCTGTCACTATCATCGATGAGCAACATCGTTTTTGAAAGTGGAATATTCAAGTATAAAATGATTATCGTTGCACGCCGCGGCGTCGGCGGTGGCGGCGGCGGCGGCGGCGGTGGCGGCGGCAGCAGCAGCAGCAGCAGCGTCCCGCGGGTCCAGCCCGGGACCGGGTTTGGGCGGCGGGCCTGCAAAAACGACTTCCAAAAAAGGCCCAACTTCATGAAGTCGGACCGTCACTCATCGCGGCGAATTGGCTTCCACAGCGCAACAATATAACACGATGTGTGCATAACGATGCCCCGCACGGACGCACACGTGTGCGTGTGTGTACGTGGTACCGATGATCGTGGTACGAGGACGAGCACGTGGTGGACGCACGCGTGTGCGTGCGCGTACGACGCGTGTGTATACGCCACACCGGCACACACCGCGATCGGGCCCGCACGGGAGTAAAGGTTTTACCGATGGCGTACGCCCATACGCATGTAGCATGTAGGCAGAGGTTCCCACACCGCAGGCCATGATTTATTGGCCTGCCACTCGCCAGACCTGCTGTCATCATCGTCCCATGGTTGGTCCATGATACAGCGCGCTGTGCCGTATATAACTTCCCTCTATGCACGATCTCCTCGCGTCATATCGGCTCCTTCTTTCCTCGCGCCCCGTTGATACAGGAAGGCCGTTCGCTGCGCCGCGCCGCGCCTCGCCGCCTCCCCTCTAGCCCATCCACCTTGTTTTACCTTAACCAGCCGATACCCACCGTCGTACGAAGCCGACAATCACCTTCTTTCTCATCACGAAGACGCTGGCCGGCGTGGGTGGGAGGTGCAAATTTCGCAAACTCGATCTGAGTATCGTTATCGGGCGTTCCCGAGTTTACGATCGATCGAAACTCTCCTGGAGAAGTAATCTACTCGCAAAGATTAAACGACAAATGTGTAAAGAAATCAAACTGAGAGGACGGAAGAATTTTTCTGGAGAAATAATGTATTTGCAAAGACAAAATAATGTGGAAGGAAATCGAATTGAGGGAACGAAAGAAAACTTTACTTAAGGTTCTGAAGGTACTTAAGGAAGCTACCAGGCTCAAATATATAAAATATATAATATTTAAAGAAATAATGAAGATAAAAGAAAAAGAAATAAAATTCGGTGACTAAGTAATTTAATATTTAGCTTCAAGAATGAGCGACAAAAGAAAGAACGATATACATATATTTCTTCAATTTGCGCAACAGTCAAAGAACACGCGACAACAAATAAGGCATTATTATCTATATTTCTCAATTTTTTCAAAGTTGCGAATCAAGATCAGATTCGAAGATAGATGAATAAAAGGGTAACAACCATTGCACCACAAGTCTTCAAGCGGTGCAGCAAGGTACGAGGGCACGAGAGAAGAAAGGGGGTTCCTTTTAGAAACAGGGGGGACGCGGAGTCGTCCGATCAGGAACCGAGAGGGGTTACTTCGTTTTCGTCAGCCGCCGGCATGGGTTTCTCAGGCGACGGCGGCAGCGGCGGCGGTGGCGGCGGCGGTGGTGTCGGCGGTGGCGGTGGCGACGGCAGTTCGCTCGCTCGTTCGGCACACAGTCGAACTCCTTCGCCACTGAACGACGGACGTCGCCGTCGCCGTCGCCGTCGTCCTTGCCCACGAGGGATCGGGGACCATCACTCGGTGTGATCATCATGTCGTGCATCATGATCGGCGTCCTGATGATACTCGTGTCGATCGCGCGCGGTTGCGTCGGTTGTCCGTTCTGCGCCAGACAGCAGCTGCACAGTTGCAGCAGCGTTCGCAGTCGCAGCCGCAGCGCAGCAGCGCAGCAGTCAGCAGCAGCAGCAGCAGC